TCTACGTGTACACAAAAAAAGAATTAGGGAGAAACACAAGACTAACAGACCAAAGAAAATAACAATACTCCGCTTTGTCACTAACAAATCGGCCTTAGCCAAGGACAAACGGAATCGTATCATCATTTCCTCCTACTTATAACACAGAATAGGAACAAAGAAAACTCGGGGATATATACTCGGATATATACTCGGAAATACTCGGAAATAACAAACATAAGGGAAATAACAATACTACGCTTTGTCACTAACAAATCGGCCTTAGCCATGGACAAACGAAATCGCATTATTACTCCCTCCTACTTATAAAACAAAAGACAACACGAAAACACATGGACTGTAAAATCAGAAACATTTTCTTTTTCCGGGCTAAAAAAAAAATTTCACACATTGCCTGGACTATTAAACTTTAAAAATACGAAAAAATTTGACCTATATTTTTCGTACAACAGCTGATTTCTGAAAACGCAATAAATTGCTCAAACACTCAATAAGAAGACGAAATAGATAACTTATAAACACTTAAAGAAAGGACAGCGTCTACATACGAAATAAATTATTTCGTTAACGTAAACAAAATTCTTTTCTCAGACATGGGATGGTACTTAAGACGAAAAAGAATAAACAAACTTGATATCGTTCACATTTTAAATACCGGCAAATAAAGAATGACATCATTCTAAATATGTATTATTTCGATCTCAGAAAATAGACGGAAATTATTTCTACATAATTTTACGAAAACTGGACATAACAGAAAATGGAAATCGTGGCAGTTAACTTGGGACAGGAATAGACTTGATTTAACGAAAAACTGAATAAAGCAAATCACAATATAACTGAAAATACCATTCGAAGCAAACTCAGACGAACTTCACATACAGGGCGGGACAAAAATACTAAAACAATGTTTGGGTGAAAGCAAATACACAATGTATACAAAACAACATACTCGATAAACTTCACAGGGTGATACAAAAATACTATTGAAAATAATATTGAAAACTTGACTTTTGAGTGAGCTACACAAAATAACACAACATTAAAAAACCTTGCTCTTGTTCTGAAAACTAAATGAGACTGCTCCTAGGCAAAACTAAACAGCACCTCTGATCACGAGTATAACACTTGTCATCATTCAGATACAAGACAGGAAACACAAAAGGGAACTCAGGGGGAACACAATCTCCTATTAACCCGTGGCATAACATACGCCGTCAAAGCTGGTTAATTAGGGAACAACAGGGGAACACAGGGGACTACTCTTCACATTCACAATCTCCTACTGCCCGTGGCATAACACAAACGCCGTCAGAGAGGGGATAGAGGAAACAATGAAATGTCTTAGGACAAAAGACAAAACACAACTATACTCATCAGCTCAAAAAAAAGTCACTCAAACAATAAACACATTTACTCAAAATGACCAGACAAAACAAAATTACAAAAACCGATTTTTCTGTAAGAAATGTCAAATCAATCAAAAATAAATGGCACAATAACGGTATACTTAATTTGTTACTGTAAATAACTTAAAATTCTTTTCAACATCAAAACATTATTTAAAATTCAATTTAAATATTCAAACTCAAAATATTTGCTTTCATTTACCAATACACAAAAATACATATAGAAAAATTTCTACAGTACACGAAATAAAAGATACAACATTACATATGTCAATATACAACAAATACATCTGTTGATATACAACAATACATATGTTAATACAAATACCATACAAAGAAAAAACAACAATACATATGTTGATACAAATACATAAACAAACTGTTTGTGGGACACCGGGGCACTACCTGGAAGACAGGGTTTCATAAAAATGGCAGAAAACTATGGCAGAAAAATTGAAAAAGATATGTGGCTTGGGAAAAAGGTCAAAAATCTAAAAATTAAGGAATATTCAAAAGCCTCGCACGTTGGGAGCCATTTTTGTAACGATAATATTTTGCCTACCACAGGGGCATTAATATAAGGTAGAAAATTGGGGGAAGAAACTATTGGGGGTGGAGATAGGGCAAGCAAAATAATCGCTACTGATGCGAACGGACACTCAGGGTTTCGTAGGAGAGCTGGGGTCGTGGATAAGTAAAAGATAAGGGCATTGGAATGGGGCAACTACAAAAAAATGAAATAAAGGGCTCTTGGGATAAACAAAATAAAAATTAAACAAGAAACACCTCAAGGAATTTAATATAGGGCGCCACTTGAGGTGCCTAATTATGCCTATTACAACCACTAGTTGTAACTAGGGAAATAATTAGAAAATAAAATCAAAACATATCTTTTTCAAATAAACTCAAAAAGGGTTAGCTTAAAAAAAATAAATAAAAAGTTAAGAAAATAAAATTTAACCTTTAATTATGTGTACCACAAACAGTTACAAATACGAATAATACTAACAAAATACAAAAAAAATGACTTACAATGGCGCTTTCGGTTTACAACTCTGGGCGTTGGGGACCCTATTTGCGCGACATTTTGTAGCGGTAACTATTTAAATATTTATTATCATATTTTCAAATGGAGCTTACTTACTGAGGTTAACCTTTTTAAAAACAAAACAAATTCAAAGTTTATGGTTATGTATGTACCAAATATCCGAAGACAATAATGCTAACTGTCATATGTCAAGATTAAATTTTTAAAACTATAAGAATAATTAATATGACAGTTAACCAATCCCTAATATTTATAATTTTATTTATTACAATTTTTGTAACTTGTCATGAAAGCAATTATCGATGAAAACTGTCTATTTTTACTTTAAAAAATGTTTACGAAAAAAAGAGTACCTGATATCACTGAATATTATATCTCCTTTAAAAGTTTTGGGGCTGGAACTTTACTCAAAAACACTGCAAAACAAACAAATGCTTCTCACAAGCTGCAAAATGGTCTGGAATGACCAGGGACAACAAATATACGATGAAAGCTGGGCACTGGACCATCGGACTTCGGGTTAATTAAACTGCAATCTTCAAAGCTTGGCTTTTCAAAACTTCTCAAAACACAAAGCTCTTCAAAACACAGCACGACCCAAATCGGTGATTAACTCAGACAAAAACTGACACATTACATTTGAGTATAATATTCACTTCTCCACATATAAATTTGCCGGTTCCTTGAAGAATACCACCCAAGCACCTTTCCGTCAATATCATAAACCAACCTCAAATTGTAACTACACATGCTACCAAACTTCAATACTTCTGATGAAAAAAACTAATAACAAAAAAAAAACATTACGAATTTGATGAAAATTCGGACTAAACAAACGAAACCAACTGCCCTTGACAGCGGCTCCACCGATAGTGACGAAATTAAAAATTTGTTCGCTTAACTTGAAAATCAACGAACTGCTGAAATAGCAAAACCAACGAACGACGTAGATATCCTTTGAAACGCATTTACATGAAAAGAAATCGCCGCAGTAAAATAAACAACAATTAAATGGATTTATTACTCTACGACGTTAGAATGATTGAAAACACTTTTCGAAAGATACGAACTAAAAAACAGAAAACATTCTTCGTTTTATTAAGACGATTTCATATACGAGGCGACTTTAAATATACTTCAAAGAATCAATCAAATTTAAAATGCTACACATTTTAACACAGTTGTACAGGAAGGTTATGTGTCGATTTGGTTTGTGGTGCTTCTATCTGGTAATACCCATGTTAGTTTATGAATATCCTTGATATTACAAAATATGCCCTTCCGACTACCGTCTTTAACGGCTACCATATTTCATCCATTGTCATTAGCTACATCGTGAAGGCTGTAATAATAATGCCAAACATAAAGACAGTGCTGGGATACGGGAGATAGGACCCTTCGGCTTTCTACCGCGTAACGAATTTCTGTAAAATAGTAGTGATTTTTAAATAGTTTTTAAGCCAAGGAAATGTCCTGCATCTTGACAGTGTTCTGTCACCCCAGAATTGTAGAAAAGAACAGATCTAATGCATTTTTAATGGTCTTGGATAAAGATTTTGACGATTGACCAGTTTCGCCGATTTAGACTTGGCCACGGGAATAAGGAATGAAATATCACCACAAAAATGATGAGTGATGAATCTTTGAGAGGTGAAAATTTTCCTGGATGGTCAGAAAGTGATTCTATTAAAAGCTTTTGCTTATTCTGATTGAAGCAGAGTGAATATATGGAAGAAATGTAACAGATGCAGAAGTGGAATTACAAATATGTGTACATGAGTGAGTGCGTCGTAGGATTTAAATTTCCGTGGGAATCTTTTGGATTTTGTGGACTTAGTCCACAAAATATCTAGATAAGGGCCTCTTGAAGATATGAAAGTTCATTTTATTGTGAGACTCACACAAATAACGATTTGCTTCAGTCGATTTTCTGTACGCCGAATAATCAATCGACCATTCGACTTACGCGTCACCAAACAGGAAAAGAGAACGACACTATTATTTTCTACCTCGCAATATAAATCTTATACCTACTTGAATGTTATATATACAGATGGTCGAGGAATAAAGGATGGGTGTTGAAGGGAATTATCGGACCCGTACTTTCTGTTTAAGGGGATAGATTTCAGAGCTGAGTGTATTTATATTATTAGTCCCGGAACGTTTCCATTGATCAACTTTAAGTCAGTGAGGCTAAGATGGGCTATACGCATTGCTCGGATGTTAGATAATGAATTCACGAAGAGATTGACATTCTCTTCTGAGAAGAAATAGAAGACGACCGCTTAGAAGATGGTTTGATGGAAGATCTTAAGATTTTAAGGGTCAGAAGATGGAGGGAAGTGGCTAGGAATCGACGGAAGTGATCTACAAAGGAATGTCGAGTCAATTGATGACTCTAAGTAGCTATCCTATTCTGTTGCTATTTAACTTAGTCTGTTAGTTTGTTACTATTTACGTAAATCTTTATTAACGAGTCTCTCTAAATAAATAAAATATAACCAAACTGGTACTTATTAGAATAAAATCTCTTTTTGTTTTAGGTGTCAGCATGGGGTGGTTACGTTTTTATCATCAACTTGATCCCCCTACATGTATTTGTTCTACTTTTAATGGGTAGATATTCTAATCGATTATTTACGAGTTACACAACATTTTATATACTAGGGTTAATTTTCTCGATGCAAATTCCTTTTGTTGGTTTCCAACCTATTAGAACCAGTGAACACATGGCAGCCGGAGGTAAGTGATTCGTAACTATCATAATTTTAATTATTTAACACTTTTTAAGTCAAAACTTTTAATTTGTTTTTTATACAGAGTGTTTCTATATTCACCCTACAATATTATAGCACAAACAGCTCTCGCTATTTTATGATTTTTGGTATATAAACATAAATCCTTAAAGAGCTTAATAATAATTTGGCATCAACTACTATTAAAATATTCAACTAGTAGCGCGCTATCAAGGTTAGTGTTTACATTTCCCCCTATTTTTTGGACCAAAAATTTTTTTATATTCTCTATTTTGATTAAAAAAGTAATAACCTTTGGAGGCAAAATGATTTTGATGGCGAGTTAATATTTGCTTCTAAACAAAAGTCTGCAACCTTTTCTAAATTTTTAACTGCTTTAACGATCTGAAGAGTTTTTGGTCTGTTAGTTAAAACTACAATTTGTGTTTTTAAGGTTTATTTTTTCCATAATTTCCTGTAATATCAATATATTTCATTAAGCGATGCTCTAAGACTCACTGCATTGTATTTGTATGCGATTATTTTGCACTTTCACGTCCACCCCACGTACCCTGCATATACATTCTTGTACAAAGAATCTTATCACTGAACGACACTGGATTCTTTTGATGTTAATACCACGCATACCCTACATACTGTTTAAAATGACTGCGTACAAACAACTACTAGCAAGGATAACTTGAAATTTTACAAGAAAAAATTACTTGAGTAATACTCCATCTCTGGACAGATCTTATCACACTGTTTATTAATAGGCCTTAGGTTCTCCTCTATGTATCGGATATATTCAAGCCTGTACTTACAAAAAAAAATACCGTGAAAATATAATATAGATTGTATATCGATGAGGACAAATTTACAAGGAAAGGAATATTTAATTCTAGGCAGTCATGTTTTTCATTAGAAAATCCGCACTCTCTTTGAGAACACGGTTTTTATCATAATTTTTCACTAATTTGTGGGAGGAGTTGAAGATTGTTGTTTGAAGCTTCTTACTCTTGCTAAATAAATTAAGTAGACTTTTTGTACAGGTTCTTTGGAAAAAGTTTTAGATGAATTGATGGAAAATTTGATTACCATCACGTTTCAGCACGATGGACCATATGTCCATTTTGCTGAAGAGGCTAAAAATTTCTTGAAGGATTTAGAGGAAAATGGGTTGGTCGAAGTGAACCATAATATTTGTCTACAAGTTACCCGAGTTCTAGGTCTATCAACTTTTTTATCTGGGGCTACACGAAGTTTTTAGTTTAGGAAACTATCGTCGAATATAAGAAATTATATCTTAAGGGACAGGTAGATCTGCTTCTGAATCTGCTGCTGAACACGTTCAATCCAAGTCGTGAGTTATGTTTAGAGATACATTTTTCCATGAGAAAGTTGTAGATCCTGCTTGCAAGTAACCGAACAACAGTTTGAATATTTACTATAAGTTTGTTGTTTTGTTTTGAATGTAATAAAATTTTATGTTAATTAAAGTGCAGGAACTGCTTCTACTAATTAAGACTATAAATAGTTTTATTTTTCCACAATCTATTATTAGAAACCTAATTAATAGCACAAGCTAAAATAAATAAAATAATATCTTCTTTAAATTCACCTGCCCATTCAACATTATTGAAAGTGTAATATATTACATTAATATACATATGAGGTTGCAGTGAGACCTATCCATACATGAAATTTTTTATTTTGTCATATACCTGTTGTAATAATTTAACCTTTATTTGTATTGAACGTAAATTAAATCTGGTAGTGAAGAAATATTGTTCAGAAGTTGAGTATTATTTTGTGCAATAAAAAAATTTACAAGGAAATTTACAAATTTACAAGGGGAAGTTTTGCCTTGCAACTTAAGTAAAGATAAAATGGAGTAGGAAGACCTGAATATCATCGGAGTATACGGCCCAGAAAATAACAAGCCTCAAACAACAAGGGAAGCGTTTTATGAATAATTACAAGAAGTCAGAGGGAACGTGATAATATTGCAATCAAGTAATACCTGGAATTAGGCAAAAATATAACCAGGATGCCAAAAACGAAAATGGAGAACTGATGATAAACTTCTGCACGAATAACGAACTAAGAATTTCCCCAAAAAAGACAAAATGCATGGTTACAACAGCAAATTTACTAACATGTAAATTGGAGCTGGAAGGTCAGATAATAGAACAAGTGATGGAGTTTAAATATCTAGGCATCACATTATCTGGCCACGGAAAGCTCGCAACTGAAGTGAATAGAGCAAACAGATGCACAGGCTGCCTGAATGAAACAATATGGAGAAATAAAAATATCGGGAAAGAAACGAAAGGCAGAATTTACAAAACAGTCATCAGACCAATAATGACATACGCGACATACAAGACCTGGGATAGAGAGGGCAAAAAGGATGTTATAAACAACATCAAAAGAGTAGTAAAGACGGCATGAGACGGTTCTTCAATAGGAAGACCACGAAAACGATGGAACTTTCTGGAGGCACATTGAAAAACAAACAGTCATGTCTATATATAAAGACGAAGAAGAGGAACTTAAGTTGGGCTAATTCCAGGTCTAAAGTCGTTCATTATGCGATACTCCTGCACTCAGGTCTTTTCAAGGACACAGTGGTGAGCTTTGGGGCGTGGGTCACAGATCGCTAAACAGAACAGGGAGTACTGAAGTCAGAAAGAGGCTAGAAAGGACAAAGGGCGCCGTCTTATAGTTTCTTTGAGTGACATGGGAACCTTGAAATCTTATATGTTAGAAGGTTGGTTTAAGAAAGAATAAAAAAATAGAACTGTTTAAACTCTCTTGAAAACCAATATGAACATTATAGTCAAAAGACAAAAAACAATCACACTTATCTTATATCTTTCAGCAAACTTCTTACAATTTATTTATTGTGGTCCAACTGAAGGGTAGATTGTCAGAGAAAACAAAATTACAAAGTTGTTACGTACTAGCTGTATTTATTACTAGCTAAATCATAAAAAACCGAATCTAACTAAAATTGTCAATTTACAAACAAAAATGTCTAATAAAACTTGATACCTTCTAGAATACATCTTTATAAACTGTTAAACATTAATTTCTCTGGTGACCTGGTAAAATATTAGTTTTAAAAAATGATCTCAGTAATAAATGTTATTAAAAAAAAGAAACATTAGAATTTATCTTGGTCATTACTATACCATGATATAGACGTAGGCGAATTGATTTAAACATGCAAAACAATTAAGGGGATATACCCCATAAAAAAAACACTAACACTGCACTGTCACTAGGTACATGTAGAAGAAAGTAAAAATAATTACAGGTATTTTTACACAGGTTAGAGAATTTTGAAGAGGCATCTAGCAAATATAAACAATCACTTATTGTTTATTTTGTTTATTTCAATCCATAATTTTGAGACACCATTCTAAAACAACAGAAATCATTAATAGCAACTTGAGAGAGATGAGATTTACAGAGAAGCCGATTTACCCAAGGCAATTTGGGCTGAGTAAATAGACATTTAAATTTTGTTTATTCCCGTTCTAAGATTCTTAAATGCTATTCGAATAAAAAACTCTCTTTCAGATATTTGAAAAATGTGTAACCTTAAATTATTATTATTTTACATGAAAACACAACAGCTAAAAAAATGTTTATTATTTTAGGTGTTTTTGCACTGATGTTTGCTGTTGGGGCTTTGAAGTACTTACAGTCAATGATGTCAAAATCAGAATTTAAATCCTTCGTAATATTTGGTGGACTTATATCAGCAGCAGTAGTGTTCTTAGGTGTTGTTTTACTTACTTATGCAGGATATGTAGCTCCATGGAGTGGAAGGTAGGTTCAGTTAACAATGTTTGTTCTCGTTTTTGTTTTATTCGAGTCAATATTAAATAGAAGTGTTACTAGATGACGAAAGAAATAAGTTTTTTTTTATTCCATTAAAAATACATATTTTTGATTAATTGTTAGTTTTTGAGATAGACTTGCGCTGGCGAAGTGATTTAAACTCAAATGGTGTAAGTCTGTAGAAGACTTAAAGATAATGATGCTTCAAAATATATAGTATAATTGAATATTCCGATTTTATCTTTATTTGTACAATTCTTGTGCAAAGGTTTCGCTTATAACGAGATACATTAGATGTCCCGTGAAATTTCTATTGAACTATAACCCTCTACAGCGAGGCAAATTTGATTATAACGAGAAAAAATAAGATCAAAAAACGTGTTTTTTACGCTTTTGGCCCGACCGTGGCTATAAATAAATACTCTTGTTACCGCAATAAGCTTCTTCTGTTTAATCTACCGACCGATATTGTGTTATCGGAAATTTACAATTTATAATTTACAAGTGTCAGTGTAGGGGTTTGACCTTTCGCACCTAATAAACTACGTAAACAGGCTTAAAAACATGACAAATGAAACAATTTTGGCCAGAATTTCATTTCACAGCTGTTTTTGTCGTAGATGTTTATCGTTCGTTTCCTGATTGTGCTTTCGCGTCTTGAAAGTTGTGTTGTAGATTACATAGTCACATAGATTACACACTATGACTCCTAAAAGAAAAGCATTTACTTTAGAAGGAAGAAATGAACATCCTTAAAGATGTTGAGAACGGTAAGAAGAAAGCAGAAGTTTGTCGTGAAAGAAGAATTTCAAGTTCCACTCTATCAGAGAAGAGGAATTTCAAGTTCCACTGAATCTACTATGCTCAAAAATAAATACAAGATTTGCGAAGCATGTTCGTCTTTTTCCGGCAAATCGAAAAAACTACGTGCTGCAGCTAATAAAGTACACGACACTGCAATGGTCAAATGGTTTAACGTAAACAGGCACAAACACATTTTTCGCAGGCGCTAGGTGGTCATGAGAATTTTAAAGCATCGAGTGGGTGAATGAGCCGTTTTAAGACCAGGCACGAAATTACGCGTCGAAAAATTTGCGGTGAAGCGAAGAGTGTTTCCAAAGAAGTCACCGACAGTGACTGCCCATGGTCATAAGACAAAATTACAGTGTCGATAATGTTTTCAATGCCGACGAGCTGGGACTTTTTTTAAACTTACTCCAGATAAGACCTTCAAATTCAAAAATGAACGTTGTATAGGTGGCAAGTTATCAAAAGAAAGGGTAACTGTACTCGCGTGTGCCAACATGTCCGGTTCCGAAAAAAGGAAGTTAGTCGTCATTGGGAAATCTCACAAACCACGATGTTTTAGAGGTGTGAATCGACTTCCTGTCACATACAAATTTAATGAAAAATCGTGAATGACAGCAGAGATTTTTAGTGGAGAACTTTTGAAGTGCGACAGAGAGTTGAGACATCGAAAGATTCTTTTAATCCATGACAATTGTACAGCTCATCCGAAAGTTAAAGGTTTAAAAAACATTCAACTTCTTTTTTCACCCCCCAAGTTGCACATTTGTTCTGCAACCGATGGATCAGGGCGTCATAAGGTCCCTTAAAGTTCACTACAGAAAACTTTTAGTTAAGCGGATCCTGAATAATGTAGAAAATCGTAGTGAATCCCATGTTACTTTATTAGATGCCATAAATTTTATCCACAAACCATGGACACTCGTAGATAAAAAAAACCATCAGTAAATGTTTCGGTAATGCGGGGTGGACAGAGACTGAGGTAGAAACCGAAGAAGGTGAATATCCTGTAGCAGAGTGGTTGAGGTTATAACAGCAAGGTCAAGAACTAACCCAACTGAATAATGATGACGAGTTTGCTGAATTAATTGCCATTGATGATACGTCATTGTTTGTGATCTTCCGACGGATAGTGAAATTGTCGCGGAAGTAATAATTCGCCGGGGGAGTGCGTTATCGCTAGTGGCGAAAGTGATTAAGATGGAGAAGGCAATCGCCGTGAATCTACACAAGAAGGTCCTAATAGGCAAGATGTGGAAAGTGCTTTAAACGTTGTAAGAAACTTTATTTAAAGACAAAACGCAAATAAAGGAGCATGCAACTGTTTTATATCTTTAGAAAATATGATAGATAGAATAATACTGGACAATTTAAAGCAGTCAAAAATGACAGACTTCTTTCAATTGCAGAAGCAATAGTTTATGTTATCCTTGAAAATGCGCTTTAGACATTATGTAGTTGGATAAAAATGTAAGTACGGTTTTTTTGTTTTAATGTATTTCATTGACAATAAAAGTAAACAACTTTTTTTCAAAAACACGATTCAAACAACATTTAGCATCTTATATTTCTCCGAATGGCTTCACTATAGAAAGTTAATGTTTTAGAAAACTACATATTACTACTACATATAACTACAAAACGATATCGGCTTATAACGAGTGCCATTTCAGTTCTCTTTATAGAGGGAATCTACTGTATATAAAATAAAATATTAACACATGGTAAAAAAACCAGGCGGTATATGATCCTAGAAAGAAATTCTACGATCAATTTATAAATTGTGGATTTTTTTCGTTCATAAAATTGGATATAAACTTTCTAGTTCTGAATTTTTGTTGTAGATTCTATTCATTATGGGACACCGGCTATGCGAAAATACACATACCAATTATAGCTTCTGTATCAGAACATCAACCGACAACTTGGTTTTCCTTCTTCTTTGACTTACATATATTAGTTGTCACGTTTCCAGCTGGCCTTTGGTATACTATTAAAAATATAAATGACGAAAGAGTATTTGGTAAGTAAAATGTTCATTATTTTATATTTTCGTTAAAATTCACAATCTACTCTTTGAGTAGATATCCCATCAATATCAGAAATATTTAAGGTGGCAATATATAACAGGTCAATAAATAAACTGAACTTAATTAAAATATATAATGATATGATATGATAATAAATTACTCCGGTGCGAAATTTTCTCCAACGACAACTTTCCAAACTTAAAACTTTTTAGTATAGTTTCAAAATTGTAGCTAATAAATTCTGATAAATGGTAATTGAGTTTTTTAACGACACTGTTGCCGAGTTGTGTCAAGATAATGTATCAACTTCTATATTAATTCGCATACAGTGAAATAGTCATTAATAACTGACTTATTAAAGTATCTAATAAAACATGACAACGCTGACCAGTAGAAAAGTAGATCATCGAAGCCTTAAGTTAGTGAGATATATCACTCGGTATTGGCGTTCAGTTTTGTTTACTGTATACAATTTTGACACAAAGATCCCCAAAAATATACACCTAGTATGACGAGATCAGAACAAAATATAATGTACAGGATTTAAACTAATGGATACTAAACAGAAAAAGGAATGGAACAATCACATTAGTAGATGGCAGACACAAAAGTTATAAAATAGTAGGAGACAGATTACCAAATTATAGAAGTATCGACCGACTGCACAAGAGCTGGAGTGACAGTCTTCCATAGAGGCGCCAATTAACAAGCTTGATTTTTGGTATTCAAAATTATATTTTAAGTTAAAATGAATATGTTTTGTTTCTATATGGACGGTCTTACCTTTTCCCGATATACTCCAATAACAGTTTATATAACTAGCAGTGAATAACAATGAATCTCTTAGATCACTGGTCCTACAATACCCTAAGCTCACGGTATATCTCAGTATTTTATTTTGAAATATTTTCGAATTAAATAACTTCTACCGATTTTAATAATGTTTTATATATAAATTATTACTTATTTTTATTTATTATTAACAGTATTTAACATAGGTACTTCTTTTTTAGTTGTTTTATATGCTCTAAGTGCAGTCTATTTCGCTGGAGTTATGGTTCGTCTCATGCTCACATTAACTCCAGTTGTCTGCATATTGAGTGGAATAGCTTTCTCCGGTCTATTAGAACTATTTTTGAGAGACGAAGATACCACTAGAAATGAAGACAGTGAAGAAGAACTGCCATGCACGCCATGTAAAAGGCTGTATGATAAGGTAAATATTACAATTTTAGCTAGCATCTAATACTAATAAATGTAATGTTTTTGCTGTGTTGTCTTATTTTGTGTTCATTTTCTTACATAGTCTTTTTATTTTACAGGCTGGAAAGGTACCAAAAATGAAACATGAACAATCGAAAGAACCTGACAGCATTGGACCAAACTTAAGAAGTATTGTAACTGTGGTAATCTTATTATTGTTAATGTTGTTTGCCGTCCATTGTACTTGGGTTACAAGTAATGCCTATTCGAGTCCAAGTATCGTGTTGGCTTCATATGGAAGTGATGGATCTAGACAAATTCTTGATGACTTCAGAGAAGCCTACTTTTGGCTTTCTCAAAATACCGCCGACGATGCCAGAGTTATGAGTTGGTTAGTACGCTTTTCAATTTTATTTATCAATTCAAGATTAGTAACTGAAATAACGAAACTTTAGAAACATTTAGAACTCTCTAAACATTGTGCGATATTTACTGTAATCGAACATCGTATATCAATACAAAGGCAGGAGAATCCAACAATATCTAAATGAAACGTGGGGTCCGACAGGGACGTATAACGGAGAAGGTATCAATAACATCAGATACGTGGACGACGCGGTAGTATTCGCTGAGAGTTATGAAGCCCTCCAAGAGTTAATAGGACCACAGAAGTAAGTCAGAGATATGGACTTTCACTAAACATTAAGAAAACAAAATGTATGATGATATTGAAGAAGAAACAGCAATTTGTACGAATCGGTGTGAATGGTCAACGAATAGAAAGGGCAAAAACATACACCTACCTTGGTACGAACGTTAATGAAAATTGGGACTAGTCACTATAAATCAAATGTATGATAAAGAAAGCACGATCTACACTCCAAAAAATGGCTAAGCTATTCAAATGCCATGATTTATCAATACTCATAAAAATCAGGTTATTACGATCTTTCCTATAATGTTGTACGGAGTTGAGATGTGGACTTTTACAGACGCTAACTGGAAGAGTATTGGAGCTTTCGAAATGTGGGTTTATCGTCGAACCCTGAAGATATCTTATACCGCTACCAATCAGGACGTATTATTAAGAATACAAAAAGAAAAAGGGCTGTTAACTACAAAAAAACAGCCAAAATCGAATACCTCGTTCACATCATAAGCGAAAGATATGGATTGCTGCAACTAATTTTACAGAGAAAAGTAGAAGGAAAACGACCGGGAAGGCGAAGGCTTTCCTGGCTGAAAAATTTACGTACGTGGTTCAACAATCAGAAATCTTTTCAGTGCATCGGTATACAAAGTACAGGTTGTGATGATGGTCGCCAACATTCGAAACGGGTAGGCACTAGAAGAAGAAATATATTTGATTGTATGGCTAAGTGAATACTTGTGTATAATTGAAATGAAGATTAGGAGGTTTTTATGCTTAAACCGATCAAATGATCAATTTATCAATTAATATCGAATTTAACGACACTGGCAATCGTTGAAAAGAACTTAAAGCATTTTTTTAAATTAGATATTACTTGTCATATATGATCCCATTTAAAATTATCTTACGTGATCTCACAAGATCGTGCTCTTCCGCCATTTTAAATGATTACGTCATTGAAACGTCGTAAATCCTATGAACAGGTGTCTTAGTTCTGTTACCCAAAAATGTTATTAATTTAGATTGTATGGTTCAGATAAATTTTTTGGGCAAAGGGCTACTACACTGGCGTATCAGTCAGAATTTGTTCCAGATAGATTAAATACAACAAAAACTCTTAACTTTTCGGCATTACAATTTTGAATATTTTTTGTGTGACATAAAATGTGAAAAAAAAAACGTTTTTTTTTCTCCTAAAATCTAAGCTTTTAATTATTACATTCCATAAGTACAGTAAAAAATCTGTATAAGAATTAGTACGAAATATGCTTTTCTTTAGTAGAAATGAGCTCCTCAATTCTTAGCACTAACTCCACTAGTTTATCGCACATGTTCCTAACTTCGCCAACTTGGTACTACACATATATAGCACTTGTAATTGTTTTTTTTTTCTTTTGTAGTTCAATTTATTTTAACAAAACGTTTCTTGAGAATATGCCATAAGTTCTCAATGGGATTTAGGTTTGGTGAACTACGAGTTCAATCAAGCACTTTTACTTTATTTTTCTGCATGAAAGTATGGATCAATTTCAAATTATGACAATGAACCAAATCATGTTGAAATATTCCGTCAAATGGTTTCATGAATGTAACAATCTCTCTGTGTAATATTTTAATAAATTTTGCATTGTTTTTTCTTCGCTTTTCTTGCCTTCTTCCAGTTCCGTTTCCGTATAGTTAAGGTACTCTCTTCGACGCCATAATCCAATAAACCCTATCGAAGGTCTGTACTTGTCGTTTTTGTATTTAGTTTGGCATTTCTTATTCGAATTTTATCAGTTCTTGTAATTGTTTTCGGTTTACGCTCACATTTTCCTTTTCTTATTGGAGACGATGATCCCGAATCTTGAAATATTCTTAAAATACATGAAACACTGTTTTCCCAAACTAAGTGCTGTACCTATATTTCTCGCAGTCATAAGAGACCTTTTTAGGAGTAATATTCATCTTTGAACAAGCAAAACTGTATTGCACGGAACAGATTATAACTACCGGCTGTTATACAGAAACGCTCACAACTGAACTACTGACGTTCTAAAACCAGTCAAACGAGTAAATTAAGGTCGCCGGTCGGTCCGTTACGTTGCCTCTAGGTAGATATAACCGATTTGTTCGGTTACTAAATACTAAATACCATACTAAATCAGACCAGAAAACATGTTCATTAGTTTGAACAATATATCATTGTTTTCTATGAGTGAACAATTGGTTTATAAAACAAATTTTCTTTAGGTGGGACTATGGATATCAGATAGCGGGTATGGCTAATAGGACTACTCTGGTTGATAATAATACATGGAATAACAGTCACATTGCTTTGGTGGGAAAAGCGATGTCATCTAACGAATCTGCTGCCTACGAAATTATGACTGCTTTAGACGTCGATTATGTATTAGTTATTTTTGGCGGTGTCATCGGATATTCTGGTGATGATATTAATAAATTTTTATGGATGGTCCGTATCGCTGAAGGAGAACATCCAAAGGATATTAGGGTAAGTTTGTAATCTGTTTAATTGCTGGTACAGTTACTTGATAAGTAAAATTCGGATTCTAAATGTCTACAGATGTTATTTTGGTTATTCAATAAGTTGTAGGCTAGCCAAATCGGTTATTAAATTATATAAGTCTTTGGAAAGAAAAGGCAGACTCCAAATAAGTACTTTACATTCTAAGAAAATGGTCATGTCATAAAATTTTTGATGGTGTAAATACAAGCATTACATAAGCTAAAAAGTTTATATTCTTCTCCATCTTTGAACATGATAGTGATCTGGAAGTTATAAAAGTTTATTCTTTGTTCAAAGGTGGATCTGTTTTATGTTTAAGACCTATTTATTACTTTGTCTTGTAAAAACTGAAAATCTTATAATAGAATGTGAAGTAGCCAGATAACTTTGTATATAAAGGTTGTCCAGTAGTTTGGATTTTTTTTTTTTTTAGATTATATAAGGTTCGTGTTTGTTTGGAAATCGGGCTGTTTTTCATGTTTGAAGGCTGTATTTCTTATGTTATATTGTATGAATATAATTTTCAGGTCGTGATAGGTATTTTTAAACATAATTTTTCATGTATCGTTTTTTTTTTCTCAATTTTTGTTTTGCAAGTTGTGTGAAACTGGCAGTTCCAAATATCTACTTTCATTACTTGTATTGAAGATCACATTTCTCTTTATTGTGTAATAATTTAGTAGTAGTAGTAGTTATGGCAGTATCATCTGTGGATCTTGGAATTTTGATATTTCTGCAACGACTACTCTTCTTTGTTAGGCAGTAAGTCATTGGCCCAACGCTACGAGACTCTGGATAAAGAAAGGAGAAATAAAAAAGACAAGGAAGGTCTACTAAAATATGTTGTAACCGTTGAATGACCCTTCAGAAACGGTGGGTGCCAATGGGTAGCAATATAACTACCTCCGAAAGTTGGGAGCCGATGTAGAAAAATAAAACTCACAACTTTCTTTGGGAGACAATTGTTAGGCCTCGTTTAGCTTAGTCTCTCGGGTGTGGAAACGTCTTATCTTAGAAGTAAATCTGACCAATGAATACATCATCATCATTAGCCATTTTGCGTCCACTGCTGAACATAGGCCTCCCGTAAATAATTCCATTGCATCCGATCTTGAGCAACTTGAATCCAGTTAGACTGGATGCGCTTTAAATCGTCCGACCACCTTGTTGGAGGACGTCCTCGACTACGATAAGCATCGTGTCTAGGCCTCCACTCTAAAATTTTCTTTGTCCATCTTCCATCTCTGACCCTAGCAACATGTCCTGCCCAGTTCCATTTCAGGGTTGTAATTCTTTCAACTGCGTCCGTCACACCAGTTTTTCTCCTTACTATCTGACTCGAAACTCTGTCCCTGAGTGATACGCCCAACATTGACCTCTCCATCGCTCTCTGTGCCACTTGTATCTTATTAATTACTTTTCTGGTAAGTGTCAATGTTTCTGCTCCATATGTCAGAACTGGAAGTACACACTGATCAAAAACTTTTCTCTTCAAGCACATGGGAATAGCTGATTTAAAGACTTCCCTCAGTTTTCCGTAATCTGCCCATGCCAGTCCTATTCTGTTGTTTGATTGTCTCTTCCCAATTTAATCTCGTGGCCCAGATACTTATAGGAATACACTTGTTCAATTTGCATGCCATTAGTGGAAATGTTTTTTGCCAGTACCAGGTTGGTCATGTATTGTGTTTTGGAAAAATTAATTTTAAGGCCAACTCGTGCACAAGAGCTCTGAAGGTCTTGAAGAAGTTGGCATGCATGATCTACCTGATCTGCAATAAGGACTATGTCGTCTGCAAACCTCAAGTTGTTCAAAAATTCCCCATTTATATTTAATCCAATATTTTCCCAATTATTTTTTCTCATAGCACTCTGTAATAGGGCGGTGAATAGTTTAGGAGAGATAGTGTCTCCTTGCCTAATACCTTTCTCCAAGGGAAATGTGTCTGTGTCACCATAGTACATTTTTACAGCAGCTGTTGCGCTATCATATATATTTCGAAGAAGAGTTGTGTACCTATGGTCAATACTGCACTCTGTAAGAGCTCTTAACATGAAGCTATGCTGGACTGAGTCAAATGCTTTCTCAAAGTCTACAAATATTAATATCAATGGCTTGTTGTATTCTATATCTTTCTCTATCAAGGATTTTATTACTTGTAGGTGGTCATTTGTTCCAAAGCCACTCCTAAATCCGGCCTGCTCTAGAGGTTGATGAAAATCTAGCTTAGGTCCCAGTCTGTTAGTAATTATTCTCATAAAGAGTTTATATAAATGAGATAATAAGTTGATAGGTCTGTAGTTGCCAATTTCTGTTACATCTCCTTTTTATGCAATATTATCATAATGGCATTATTCCATTTTTCTGGCGTATTTCCTTCAAAGAGGCAGGCATTATAAAGGGTTTTTAAAGCCTTTATGACGCATTCGCCTCCTAGTTTTATCATTTCACTTACAATGCCATCTTCTCCAGGTGTTTTGTTGTTCTTCATACCTTTTAATGCTGACTTAATTTCCTCTTCGGTTATATCTGGAAGTTCCTCTGACCCTTGATTTAGTATTGCTGGAATTTCTACTTCGGGAATGTGATCATCTCGACTATATAATGTTCTATAGTACTCTTCGATGATTTTTAGTATCTCTTAGTAAAGTAAAATGAATACATAAATAAATACAAAGACCCCCACAAAAAGCGTCAAAAATGATCAGAATGAGCTTTAGCGTTTTCTTATGCGATTTTACATGGTAAAATAGGACGTTCTTTTGTTGCTCCTTTTGTGCTTTTCTAGCCTGACATACCATTTTTTCATTTTTCTTTACCATCATATTCCTTAAATCCGTACATGTCGCAAATGAAAAAAAAATTCTGACTACACCCAGTATATCAAACCTGTTATACGTCAGCTGTCAGATATTCAATTGACAAATGGTTCCTGTCTTGGCTAAGGTTCATGTATTGATCAAGCTCAACCGGTAATGCAGATCCAACGCTTACCGACATTGGCGTCAGTGAGTGACGTCAGAATTGGACTTTTCTGGCCCAAGTGTCCCATGGTCCCATCTTCTTACAGGTTTCATCTATTTTAATCCTTAACTCTGCCTAACAGTTTTTCATTTTGTTCTGTCTTCTGCCGTAGGACTTAATAAAAAATAAATTATCTTTTTGAAAGATGTAATTCTGTGGCTAATTGGTCTGACATAATATGTATTCATTATTCAGTTTCTTCTCCTCTTAGAATGACAGAAGTATAAGTAAATTCTAAACAATCAATAGGCGTAGATAGGTTTAAGTAAAAACTCCCTGTAGTTTTCTTTAATTTTCGCATATTAATTTAATTTTTGTTGCGTATTCAATTCTCAAATGTATCTATGAATAAAGTTTAGTTTTGAAGTATCATACCATATCTTTGAACATTTTATGGCACATGTCCAATGAATAAAAATACACCAGTCACTATTGTAATTCCATTGTATTTTATTTCCAGGAAAGCGATTACTTTACGGAACATGGTGAATTTAGAATTGACGCCGAAGGTTCTCCAACATTGTTGAACTGTCTTATGTACAAATTGAGCTATTATAGATTTGGAGAATTAAAATTAGACTACAGAAGTCCCGCAGGATATGACCGTACTAGAAACGCCGTCATTGGAAATAAAGATTTCCAGCTTACTTATTTGGAAGAGGCTTATACTACCGAACATTGGCTCGTAAGAGTATACAGGTAGGTGATCTATATAAATATAAGAATCATTCACTAACTTCCATTACATGTCGTACAGTATCACAGTCTTGCAGTTTTGACTAGTTTTCCGCATAAAAAGTTCATAGAAATATAAAACTAATGGAAGTGTTTAATTGTTTTCATGATAAAATTAATATAGTTTATTTAATACGTAACATTAAGTACAAAAAGTGAATGTTAATTGCCCGTAAGTCCAATAAACCCTTTTTGCGTGAGTTTTTTTCGTTTCCCATTGAATAATTATTAATTCTACTTCTTATTTATGACTTATCTAAATGTACTATACTATATACTTGGTGGCTGTATATTGTAATTTTTTTCAGTCTGAAATTGGTTTTGTAAATGACTACTCTATGCTTACCTCCACTAATGTTGACGATTTGACATATTGATCAAACTAAACTTGACTATCGATCAAAATAGAAAATATAACAAGCAATAGAAATACGTAGAGAAGTACGACAGGGATGCATTTTGTCACCGCTGCTATTTAATGTTTATAGTGACAGCATCTGCCTGGAAACCCTTTTGCAAGCAAACGAAGGAATCGTAATCAATGGAGAGGTTGTAAATAATATTCGATACGCAAATATATATAATTATATATATATATATATATAATATATATATATATATATTATATATATATATATATATATCCGGTTTTTTTAGGCGTTACGCCCGTCCGGTAGGGATCTATGGAGGAGTATTACCGAGCCGCAAGCCCTTATCTCTTGCCGTACTGCTCCACCATAGGCCGATCAGATCCCAGCATATTCTAGTCTAAGCCGCAGATTCATCTAGAATTTTAAACTGCTGCGTTAGACTTTTTGTTTTCTGTGCACCGAGCTGGGGCTCGATCCCACATCCACTGAGCCATTCGACAGTGAAGCGAATGAGAGGCAGCCGCACAGCCCGCTGAGCTATCTGACCGACCGATACGCAAATATAACTATTATATATATATATAATATATATATATATATATATATATATATATATATATATATAATATATATATATATATATATATTATATATATATATATATTATATATATATATATATATATATATATATATAATATATATATATATATATATGTACATCGGTTTTAGAACGTCTGTCGACGTTGTCCGATACCTAAACACCATCTCTTCCTATCTTCGCAGTCGTTTGTTGTTAAATTTTTTTTCACTCATGGACTTGTTTACGCCGTGTTGCCATTCTAATCTGGGTCTTCCTCTTTTCCGTCGACCTATCGGTTGCCATTCTAATACTTTTTTGGGGAGTCTTGTTGCTGGCATCCGTTGAACATGCCCATACCACCTTAATTGTTTCTTCTCTATATCTTGAGTTATATTTCCTTCTATTCCCATACATTGTTTTATTACATCATTTCTGATTCTGTCTCGTCTGGAAATACCTAAAGATCTGATCATTGCATCCATCTCTACTGCTTCTATTCGCTTTTTGTTCTTTTCACTATTTCTCCATGTTTCAGCGCCATAAAGAAGAGTAGTTTTAATCATGATCTCATATATATTAAATTTTCTTCCTTTCGTTATCTCTTTACTCCACAGTATACCATTGAGACATCCTAAGACTTTCTTTGCTTGTGTGATTCGTTTTTCTATTTCCCGTGTATCGGTTCCTGTATTGTCAAAGACAACACCCAAGTAGTCATAGCTCTGACAGCAGGAAATATGTTGTCCGTTTTCGAGGTCTATGTTATCTGACTCGTTTCCAATACAAAGATATTTGGTTTTTGTTGTATTGACATTCATTCCCCAGTCGTTATATTCTTCTATCAAATAAAATATAAATATTGCCTGCAACAATGATGGCATAAATATCAATATCAAAAAAACCAAGTATATGGTCTTCAGTAAAAACATGAAAGTTTGAAAAAGTATCAAGTTACAAATACTTGGGGACTTCAATAAACGAAATTGGGGACCAAAACAATGAAATAAAAACACGTATCGAAATTGCCAGGGCCACCTTCATAAATATGAGGAAATTCTTCTGCAACAGAGATATAAGCATCCCTCTACGATTAAGAATGCTAAGGGGCAACGTATTTAACACTATATTATACGGTGTAGAGGCCTGGACTCTTAAACAGAACAACATAAAAAAGTATTGAAAGTTTCGAGATGTGGTGCTACCGTCGAATGCTGAAGATAAGTTGGGTTGAAAGAGTCACAAACTTTGAAGTAATACGAAGGATAGGAAAAGTCCCAGAAATTTTGTCAATGATCAAACGAAGAAAACTCGAATATTTGGTGATGAGAGGACATAAATACGCATTACTTCAAAATATAATGCAAGGAAAAATAGAAGGAAAACGGAATCCAGGCAGTAGAAGAATGTCATGGTTGCGTAATTTGAGAGAGTGGTTTGGCTGTACCACTAATGAACTCTTTAGGTCAGCTGTAAACAAGATCAGGATAGCCTTGATGATTTCCAATCTCCAATAGGAGTGGCACAAGAAAGAAGAAGAAACTAAACGTTCTTTCTTTCGCCTTACTTTTGACAACAAAATGTCGTTCTGTGGAGTTTTTTTTATTGGAACCCTTTTACAATAATTAATATTAAACATGCTCCGTCTACGTTTTCAATACTCAACTTTTGGCTCATCCCTACAACATGTCCTTGCGATGCCAACTATAACAGCGACCTACAACAAACAATTTTATAACTGTTAAAAACCTAGAAAAGACTCCATACTAGGGGTCCTGGCCTACTTTAAGAAATTTATAAATATGTTCAGTACTTTTTAATTTCTGACTGGGGTGTGACTTGTACCAAGGATCCACTATACTGCTCACAACGAAGTGAATATGCAAGCCAGCTAAGTTATCCTACCGTCAAAGCAGGATATAACCCATTTCAATGATTATTTAGTTGTTTTGATAAACAAAAAAAGTCGTATTTGTCAACATAATAAAAATAGTCAAAATTTATCAATAAAATCACATTGAAGTTGTTTTTTTAACGTGTTTATGAATGGTTTATCCGTGTTTTAGTTGTAAGTTCTTCTATCGATATCGTTTTGTAATTAATGACATGTAATTAAAAAACTTTTATTTCAGTTTGTTAATTTTATTTCTGTCTTAGGGTTAAAAAACCAGATGAATTCAACAGACCTAGAATCCCTGTTGCAAACAGAGTAGTTAAAACCAGTAACTACGTATCAAAAAAGGTAAGTTTAGGCTACATTATATTTTCCTGCTACATTTTCGTAACGCTTAGTTTGGAGATATTTTAAAACTCTGAATAAGTAATAAGAATAATGTAATATTTGATAACCAAACTATATAGAAGAAAAAAAAATGGGAACCATTTTTTATAACAATTATGAAATATGAGTTTCAAAAATGCAACATAAAAGACTTAATAACAATTGCATGTAGTAAGTATAATATACAACAAACGTCATCTATGGTGAAGTGCGTGAAATGGCGCATTTTCGCATCTATTTACCTGACTCCTCATATGGGCTAAACAAATGGGAAATGCGATATTTATTCACTAGCGTATCTACGAAGTGTTGCGTACTGCTATGAATTAGGGTGTGTTAACGGTAATAACTATAATTGACTCTTGCTGTAATAAAAGTATGTTTCTTTATATATCTTATCAACTAACTAAACTAATATCAGCGCAACTTTTATGTACTAGAATAATCTGGAATAGTCCACCTCTATTCTTGCTTGTATTAATGCTTCGATCTTTCAGACGGTCGATATATCAGGAACATTCTCGAACATACATCATCGTCTCGAAAGCTGCAACCGTTATATGGGGTACATCGAAATAAGCTTATTTGTTACAATATTTTACACTGGAGATGTATGTTTTACGACTTACATCGTATAGAAGATACAAGAATACCATTTTTGTAGAATTACTTATATCGTCGCTACCTGACATCAGCCAGCAAATATGAAATGGTGTGAGTAATTACCTGGCAATCGGTATTGTGTTCAACATCAAATAATACTAAAATGTAACATATAAACATACAAATATAAATGCATAAAGCATACAAAAACACCGACTGCACTCACCACAGCACTTCCTCTAAAATTGTGGCGATAATAATCAAAAATCGACTAGCAGGGATCAGCTTAAAAGAAACAATGTGACATGAGCAATTCGGGTTCTAAAACTACAGATCAGTAAATAGTCACAACCAGGTAACGTCTTTCTTGTGAAGCAAGAAAATTCGAGATCACATTATGCCAGGTGTGTTACAGAATACCCAGTTGAAGTTGAATTCAGAAATTAAATTGGGGAAAATAATATGCATGCTGGGGAAAATAATATTGGTCATATCTGGGAATATCTAGGTAGAAAGAAATCGCAAAAGACCATCTACAAACAAATAACATGCCCCAGGAGTATATTGGAACACAAATTAGTTGAATGCTTCTGAGAAAGAAAGCCATCATCAGAACTAGACTGGGCAACAGCCGGAATTAAGAAATTGATTCATTGATAGTTTCATAATTATTATCAAAATTAACAAACGCATAAAAAAACGAAATACTTTATTCAATAATTTATAACTCTGAAGCGGAGCGAAATATCAAAAGAAATAAACAAATGCATAGGGGATGAACCTAGATGATATAAAATAAACATAATTTTGTTTATTATCTTGTCTTATTTTGTTACCTAACACGCATGTGCGGCTTCCTTTTCTTCTGTTTTCCCCTTAGCGTTTATGTCTACTGTCTTTCCCTTTCTAGGAGCTCTTTCCTGTTTATTATTCTAGTTATGGTCCCCAGGATTTCTTTATATTAATTTTCTCCTCTTCTCACCACTTAAATATGTTATTCGCCCTAACGTATTTCATCATTTCGTATAACTCCGTCCTCTCGTTCGTGAACCTTTTGCAATCGAACACACAGTGTTTCGCCGTGTCGTTAACCCCGCAGTTGCCATCTTCTTGCTTCTTTATCCTTGCTAGGTAGGCTCTGAAAGAACTGTGTCCTTTCTCTCATTAGTAAGTGAATTAGTGACACCCCTGCTATCGCCTGTAAGGCAACTGTCGAAGAAGTCTTATATGCATAAACTACCCTCAGCAGGGCCTTTCTTCTGTATTTTTGTTTACACATTACCAGTTTTCATACTGGTGCTGCGGATAATATGGTGGAGAGGACTCCTTCTACCTGTCCCCGGACCTCCTATGTTTGATATGATCTTTGTTAGCGCTGCCGTTATTTGATCGGTTTTTTCCGCAGCATATATTACGTGTTCACCAAAGCTCTGTATAATGTCCAATATTACTCCTAGATATTAGACTTCCTTGACAGGTAGGATACTTTCTCCTGCCAAAGTGAAAGAGATATGCTCTCTTGGGCCCTCAAAGATTATGACCTATGTCTTCTGCGTGGTTAGCGTCAGTTATTTCTCCTCTAGCCCTATCCTAACTAGTTCAAGGGCTGTGTTTGCACGATCCATTATGGGCCCATATCCATTCTCGAAGTGTTCCGCTAGTATGACCAGTTCTAGTGACTATAGTGTCTCCCTGGGTTTATCTTCAGTATGCCATCATTCAATATATTCCAAAGCAGCGGATCTAGAACCGAGCCCTGTGGCATTCCCGTCATATTTAGTTATATTAATGCTTCTGTCTATGTCATAATCCCTCAAAAATTTTTGCAGGTATGGGGATATTTCCATTTCTTCTAATAGTTTGATTATTTTTCTCCAGCTCGCAGTGTTGAACGCATTCTTGATTTATGCACCTGGTCGATTTTTGAAAGACGGTATATAAATATTTTATTACCGCGTCCAGTACTTCAATGAACTTCAATTAATATTGTTGGTATCGGTATTTTATGTTTATATAATAGTCTTATATTTTATGAATATATTTATATCATATTTAAAATAATGTTACTAAATTACCTTTTTTTATTTCAGAATACTAAACGTAAGAAGGGTACTATTAAGAACAAACCCATTATAGTTAAAGGAAAGAGACTGTCTACAAAACAATAGATTAAAATCTATAAAATAGTTATATAAATTAATATTTTGTTGTTCGTTATTGTTTTCTTTTTATTAGATTTTTCATTTACATTACAAAAGATTTTTATTCAGAAGAAGGAGTTACTACATATGTTTCACATTTTTAAATGTTTTTCAGAAAACTTAAAAAATTCTTTGTTCACTATGTGATAAACTGTAAAAAATGCAAATACAATTCTAAACCTTTATCTTATTTGTTCTTTGTAAATCCTTATTATATATTTACCGTTCCTCCTCATTAAGCAAAAAACGATTTTGCGTCTTTTGGACTCTCTGAGCTGAAACAATTGGAAAAGGAAGTTTTAAAATTTATACTAATGTCTGAAAGGACGTGGCTAATAAGCTTGAGGGATAAAAAAGTAAATAATTCTTCCTATTTTAAGGAGATCGGAAAACGAAATGGAACAACTTTAGAAAATTCTGCGAAGAAATCGATTTGAAGCAGGTTGCGGCAAAATTACACCAACTTGTGTCAAATAGTAAAATTAACAATGCCATGACCTTGCAAGTCAGAATCATAGAAATGCACTTTCCAGAAAGCGAATCTTTTTCTGGAAAAAACGAAATCGAATACTGTAGAAATCCAACCAGGGGACTGCTTCGTTGGTCAGGCATATACACAGCAGCAGACAGCTGATGTGGGCGACAAATACCTTCTAACCATACAAATTCCCTTGGGTAGACGGAATCATCCCAGTTCTATCACCCGGGGAGAATTTACCACATGTCACAATAATGCCCACAGAAATCGCATTGGTGCTATTACTGAATAAAATACAGAATATTTTGCGCAAACAAATAGTAGTAATAGAACTAAATGAAATAAGGGTGAATTGTACCAAATCCAAGTGGAAGGAATGCAGGAAATAGGAAAAGGCAATGTACTTCTATGCAATTTGACAAAAATAGGGGTATTCTACCAAGGATCTGTCATAATTTCGAAGGGAAACTTCGAAAATATGCTTTGACAAAATAATATAGAAATAAATTATAGCAATGCATGGTGCAAAAAGTTGGGACTTAAAAGTTCCACTAAAACCTCCTTGATAGCAATAACAAAGAAAAGGAAGCTCTTAAAAAACTTAAAACCATCACAATAGATGGTAGCACAGGTGAATGGAAACCAGATTAATTGTATAGGCCTTATCCTAGATAATAAAATAATCTAAGACGAGCATGAACAATATCATGCATGATGTATATCGTCAAGCTTGGGATCGGCTTACTGATACCCCGAAAATTGTCTTACGCAGGGATCACTTAACGCTTAGATTGGACGAATTCTTTTAAAACCATGAATAAAATTTAGTCTGGTCACAATTAATTATCGAAATACTGATTAAATTAAATATTAAAAAAAATCTAAAGGTGTGAGTCGACACTGCCGACCCTGACTGTCCGCCACTGCTAACGAAATGTAATAAATTTAAAATTCAAGACTATAATAATCCAAAGTAATTAGGTTTATTGGGGAAAGAAGTATATTATACATATATAGGGATCTATGGAGGAGTAATAACCGAGCCGCAAGCCCTTATCTCTTGCCGTACTGCTCCACCATAGGCCGATCAGATCCCAGCATATTCTAGTCTAAGCTGCAGATTCATCTAGAATTTTAAACTGCTGCGTTAGACTTTTTGTTTTCTGTACACCGAGCTGGGGTACTAAGAAGTATATTATACTTATTATTAATATAGTTGCTAGATGTCTGCCATTCGACAGAATACTAAGAGAGGGTTGGGTAAATATACAAAAACGCTATAGGGAGAATATCAACCTAACTAAATATCTTATTTATTGAGTTCACATAAGCATCTGAGAAGGAAAATGTTTATTGCAATGACTCTGCTAGGTTTTCCGTAACAGTTGGTGAAATCAACAGGATTTAGATTAAGCATAACCAATAGTGGAATGGACTAAGATACTAATATTTTCAAGTAAGAATAGAATTAAGGCAAGGATCCGGTTAATGACAGCTTTGTTTAATAAGTTTTAAAAAATATAATAGGAAACAACGGAAAATCAAAAAAGCAACAGGTTTCAGCAAGGAGTCCGATATCTTGCTTTTGCAGGATGGTACGCAATAAACGGGATGTGGCAATCTGGAAGTGGCCGAGGAGGAAAAGTATAGCTTTCTTATAGTCTAAGCACGGAGCTATGGTGTAGATATTTTGTAGCGCTGAGATTAGTTCAAATTCTGAAACATTTACACACTTTTTTCACAAATTTTTACTTATAACACACTGGATTTTTTTTCACTAACTGCACAAACAAATTTTCATAGAAAATTTTATTGAGAACAATTTCACTTATATTCATTTTTGTCATAGATGTAACCGTTTTCACAGTATTAGAATAAAAGGTTAGAAAATGGAGATCTATAACGTTGATTTTTTGTTCCAAGAATTTTTCTCTATTTTTAAATATAAACAACTATTAAATATCGGAAGACATTTCTACAAAAGGTAAGTTTTTGCAGTAAGTGAGCAGGAACTTAACATTGGACATCAAAATTGGACGTTGTGCGTTGTTTTTCTTGCGTTTACTTAATTGAAGTTTAATGTTAAATAAAACACAACACTGCTTTGTTATTTGCACAAAATATCATAAGCTCGACATGTTTTACTGTTTAGATATATTTCTAGTGCTTGTAATAAAACAGTGATTCGATCCTTCCATGCGTCTTTAAGTGCTTCTGTTATTGTGATACGTTAAACACCTTTTTATGTCCTATATGGTTTTATAGTTAGAGTATGTTCCCCTGTTATAGATAGGGCTCTTATATCAAGGCGACATTGAACTTTCTAATGGCAACAGTCAGTTCTGCCAAAGGTGCTTTTCTGTGAAGAAGGTTCGCCTGTAGGACTCTCTTTGAGATCATTAATACCTATTTGAGGTATAGAATAGCCGATTTTCTTATATTTTTATATGTAAAATCAGAAGATCCCTTCATTTCTGTCATCTTCTAGCCCATCGCTTTTTTTTATCTGTGTTCTATTTTATTCGTATGACTGGCGGATGCACTTGTATGCAAGCCAAAAAACGAAGTGAAGTTGAAGATGAAGTTATTCGAAACATAACTAGACTTGGTCAAATATGCAAAATGCATATTTTATGCATCAATATGGGGATTTTGCATATTTATACAAAAAATTGTATATAATGCATAAACGTCAATTTATTTCAATTTTGCGGATTTCTATTTATCTAACCGTAGATAATGGTATGACCATGATATCCTTATATCATGGGTATGACTAAGTAACTGAAAATTCCAATGTTTATTTTATTTCAATATTTCCGATAGTACCTATAGAAACTACCTAATATTCTTGGTATTGTTGTAGCAGGTAACCGATTATAATTCCGTAATAAAAGGATGTTTCAAAAATTTATTTAAAAGTTAAAGTGAAAACTTAGCATCGTCTTTCGAGCTTGTTTAATTTGATACCTATATTGATTTCAAAATCCCTAAAAATAACCAGGGTCGTTACTTGAAGTAAACTTTACAAAGGATGGTTATAGATATCTTCTTCTTCTTTCAGGATCCTGTCCGATTATAGAACGTTGGCGATCATATTGGCAATAATGACTTTGACTTTTTGATACTTTGACTCACAAAATCCTGACTCCATTTTAAATAAAATAGGTCACATAATTATTGCAAAAGTATTACCATCTCTTTACAACGACTATTTAAATTCTTACGTGACATTTTTGAAATAAAACAAAGTAATTTTGTTCTAAAAAGCACAGATTTTATTAAATAGGTAAAAATATAAAACAAGAAGTATTCACTTTAAAATTCAAAATAATAAAGTACAAAAAGTGTCAACACCGCAAGTGTCAAATAAGTGTTACCAATTTATGCCAAAATATCACCTTCGTTCGATTACAGTTACAGTGTGTTCCGAACAAATGTTCTTCATAAAAACGCTTTATAATGCATTTATACAAATTAAATGAAACATATTATTGTGTATTTCTTTAAGTTAACATTAATAGAAATTTTTAAATATTATTTCTACGCGTATATAATAAAATATGTCTAGTGGCTGTAATGCCAGTGTACTCGGCAAAGTGATTCTAAAAAAGAACACACCTATCGCCTAAATATTTCGTGTTGGTATCATGTGACGTCACGGGCTATGACGCCGATGACGTACATCGATATGTAAATTAGATGAATTGTACTTAGTCTTTAAATTTATTTATATAGTTTTCGAATTATTAAAATAAACATTAATCAATATTACCATTATTAAATATATGTTTCCATTGACAGTATGCATATTGTCTAAAAGAAATGCAGTACATTAGTACATATTTATGCGTATATTTTTCACTTTTTTTGCATATTTGCCTAAGTCTACTGATACCCAGTTGTGGTTGTGGCTGTCTCGTAATTTGTCGATTGAGCATCGTGTAGGTGTGCATGTGTATTCTATATTTGTGTGCCGATGTACGTGAGTCTTATTCAATTTAGAGCTCTACCACCCGCAGATTTTCAGACTGCCGCGGAAGAACTTTTAAGTAATGTACAGCCTAGTTTTGGTGGAAACATTTGTAGAACTTATTTGGTCGATTTTCTATGTATTGATTTTTGAATGAAACGTGGGTTATTTAGTTTAGTTATTATATCGTTATCGCTAACATTTTGAGACACCCGAGACTACCTTGATCTCATGTGGCACTAAACGTGTTGAAATAAAGATTTATGGCTCAGTCACAGAATAACAAAACAATTGTTATTTATTCTGTGGCTAAGTCACAGTATATCGCTAAAGAATTATTTAACAATATACCAAAGAATATAGACGCATATATGCGTTTATATTCTTTGAATATACTGTGGCCAGAGACTGTGGCTCAGTTAAAATCATAGACATAATAAGAATGTCCATGGTTAAGTTAAGGGATGCAACTTCATGTTCGTTCTCATTGGTTATTTTTGAGGTTATGTCGAGTCGGTGTTTGTCATAAATGTAAATACGAAAAATGGGAGTTTTCAAATTTAGTCTTTTATTAATGATTATAGGGTTTATTGAAGCGGAGGTAACGTATTTAATAGTAATAAATAATTGTTTCGGTCTTAATATTTTAACAATTTGTTATGTTTTAGTGTTTTTTAAATAAAAACCACACAAATAACTGGGCTGTTCTAGTAGATACTAGTAGATTTTGGTTTAACTATAGACATGTAGCCAATGTATTGTCCATATACAGAAGTGTTAAACGTCTAGGAATACCAGATAGTCAAATTATTCTAATGATTGCGGATGATATGGCCTGTAATCCCAGAAATCCAAGACCTGCCACTGTTTTCAATAATGCTGATCAGCATATAAATGTTTATGGAGATGATGTAGAAGTAGACTATAGAGGATATGAGGTAAGTGTTAATCTATGATTATTTTCTTCCATTCTCGTAAAAAGTGTTTGGGTAATTGTTTAATATCAATTTATCATTAATCAAAAGTAAAGGGATATTTTACTTTTGAGGGTCAGTAAACTTCAACTGCTTTGTATATAGAGCACACAATAGTAGACTAAACAATTTAATTGTATTATGTACATTCATATAGTAATCATTTAATTAATATGATTAGCTGTCTTACATCAGACTGGGAAGAGATATATTTAAAAATAAAGATAAACATAGAACATATTTATGATGGTACTAGTGTAGTAAGATAATATGTCAGAAGAATTGTAATTTTCGAGATTTGATGGTGGTCAGTACCTCTCGGTTCTTATTAATTCTTCTGAGGACCACCTCATTTTTGACTTGGTTAGTCCACAGGATCTTAAGTATTCTCCGATATAGCTACATCTCAACTTCCAATCTTCTGCACATACCTTCGTTCAAGGACAAGTGCATACAATTACAAAACAGTAATTAGATCAGTGGTCACATAGGGATGTGAAACGTGGACCCTCTCAACCACTGATGAAAATCAACTGAGAATATTTGAGCGCAAAATACTAAGGAGGATTTTGGACCAACCCAATTTGTAAATTCACGAAGACTAAACTGGCTTGGTCACCTAAAAAGAATGCGAGTTAATTGAGCTGTAAAAGTAGTCCAGAGATGGAAGCCACAAGGAAACAGAACAAGGGGAAGGACCCGTAAAAGATGGATAGATGACTTAGAGAGGGATCTTAAAACCATGAACATCAGGCAGTGGCGAAGGAAACTATCCAACAGGGCAGAATGGAAGAACATTGTTAAGCAGGCCAAGACTCACAAAGGGCTGTAGCGCCATTAGAAGAAGAATCTTTGTTCAAGGTCCTTGATTCAAAACCATAAAAAAGGACAGAGAAGACATAGCATTGCAGCATTCTTACTTTTGTATTAAGAGAGAGGTTGTGACTTTTGAAGAAGGCCCACATACGATTGAAGGTGGATCTAGCTTTTCCAATGCGTGTTCTAATCTCCTGGTTATTTTTTTTTTTTGTTTTAGAACAATTAATTTTTAGTCCCATCTCTTAACCTACCATATTAATGGATCCAATTTTCCATAATTTTTACACCACATCCAAGTTTTGCAAAATATTCGATCTGAATATAAATTAAACAACAGTGGGAACAGCACACAACTCTGCCTGACTTCATTTAGAATCTTACACTCTTCTGTCGACTTCCCATTAATACGGAATGATTTCTGTTTGATTCCAATATAATTTTTCAAGGATCCTGGAGTATAAAGATTATCCTAAGAATAAGTAATCTTATCTTATTTGTATTTTTCTAAATCTGGAGGTATAAACTAATGGCACAATTGGAACAAATAACCTCCCTAAGTGTGGATTTTCTAATTTAAAGTGTTTTATAAGAATAAAATATCATTTTAGTGAAATCCAAAAATGTTTTTGTCTGATATCTTGCTCGAAACAATATTTTATAACTTAGTCCTTGATTTGATGGTAACTTTAGCACCAAAAATCACAGTAGATCGCTTAGGGATGGATATTTTAGTCTCATTAAATTTGCAAATTTGGATGAAACAAATTTTTGTATTAGTTTTTGCCCCAATCTTACAAATCTTTTGCCCAAATCACAGGGCGTCACAGGTCCTCACGCTAAATGCATTATCTTTTAGATGATCATATTGTTAGTAAATAACTGTAATTTTACAGGTCACAGTGGAGAATTTTGTAAGGCTTTTAACTGGACGTCTTCATCCTGGCACACCAAGATCCAAACAACTATTGACAGATGAAGGAAGCAATGTTTTGGTATACTTAACTGGGCATGGAGGTGATGGTTTTCTTAAATTTCAAGATTCAGAAGAAATTACCAGTCAAGAAATGGCTGATGCTTTAGAACAAATGTGGCAGAAGCAAAGGTATATTCTGATATAATTAGGTAATTTAGGAAATTATGTCTCTCTCTCACACACACATACACATAAGCACACACACACTAGTGTCCATGTTTTGATGTTATACAATAGCAGAAACCTTATAGCGCCTGAAACATACAGTAAGGACTAATCTGTTGTTACAGAATATTCCAGATGCTGAAGAAACTCAAGAATTAAGATGGAGTATAATAGTATTCATCTGACTTCATATTTTTATACTGTTTCTCAGTATTTCTCTGCACATCTTAGTATTCTCAGGTTTTATTCTTTTTATTTAGATATTTTGAGAGGAGTTAAATACTGCATATTGCGTTGATCTCATCGGTCAATTTATTCATCAAACATTCAGGCAAATAAAAAATTGTGTAATGTTTTTTATTTTTTCAGATATCATGAAATATTTTTCATGATTGATACTTGTCAAGCAGCTTCAATGTATGAACGCTTTTATTCACCAAATATTTTAGCAGTGGGAAGTAGTTTAGTAGGAGAAGATTCACTATCAGTAAGTTCGCTTAATTTTTATTTATTTATTTTGTTTTTTAAGAAAATATGTAATGAAAATGTAATATCTCTCAATGATGAAATACTTAAACTGACTTGTTTAACGATTTAACGAGCCTACCATCGACAAAAATAACCTCTATTTGATCGAGTTTTAACCCAGGAATGAAATGAATATATAATACCTATTTTGAGCACAAAAAAACAGAACAAATACATATATGTATTCTCGAACACTAGAGGGTATAATCTCTAGCAAGCACGGTAAGCATGCTTTACTATGCAGATATGCAACAATAATGTCTGAAACAAAAAATGCTCTGTAAAGGCAATTTATTAATTCTACCAGATTTCAGGACAGTACAATATCGACTGACACAACCAACACATTTGTTAAAGATCATTTGCAATGATGAATCTTAATCGATAGTAAAGTAATACAGTCCTAATACTTGGCATCCCACGCATCTAGCAGTCATGACCTCGCAAATGAAATAAGGTTGCAGCTGGGTCGCGATGCTTGAGAAATATATTTGGAGAAATGAATATACAACTGGTGAAAACATTCGAAAGATGTATATATTCTTTGTGAGTTCAGTCACTCCAGACTCAGGGATAGAATAGTGAATAAAAAAATTGGAAATATATACGGAATATATGACATAGTTAGATTGGGGCAGACAATGATGATAGTGATGAAAAATTCTAGAAAAAAAATTAAACCATTCTCGATAATGGGAATTACCTGAGAACGACATACCAAAAATACCCACCAACACAAAGTCTAAGATTTTATGAATAGTAACTAAAATGAAATATAATAATTTTTGTTCCATCTTTGGGGACAAAAAAAAAACAAAACTTACATATGATTACGAAAGGGCGACTCTTTATCAACGTCGCTATAAAAGGAACGGTAGGAGCTACCGAAATAAAATGTACAATTATAACATCGACGTTGCAACTTGTGCCGTACGATTACGACATAGCATTGATTAGCAGAAACCTAAACTGTTTAGAGGAAGAATTTGCGAAGTTGTGCAAGCATGCAAGAGGGGTTTGGCAATAAATCAAGATAAAACAAAATACATAATTTTGCCCAAGAAAAAATATGCAAAAAATTTACTACTCCTACCCTTCGGCTTCACCATAAAAACACCCCCGCCTCTTAGAAGAAAAATGAAAAAAATCGATTTACCAAAAAAATCTGTGCGTTGTAGAAAAAATATTTTAAATAAAAAATGTAGCTGAGACAATGGCTTTTTCAGTCGTTAAAAAACAGAAAAAATCTTAAAGTTAGAATATGGAACCAGCCAAAAAGAAATAGGGTGAAGTAAGGTATATTCGTGATATAAGTAAATTCGTGATAAATTTTTAATAATTCGTCACGATCTAGCCTATTGCCTTATAGCAGCAGTTTTGTTGCAGTCTCTAGCGGAAAGACTCGACAACCTTCCCCACCACTGCAAGTCAAATTGCGAAGCTCTGTTGAACCGGGATAAAACTTATTTTTCAGTGTTATTCCTTGTGTTGACGAGAGAGCTTGAAATCTGAAGTGCATTCATTGTTTTATTATTTATGGTGAATATTGCAAAGGTAAGTTTGTAAAAATTACGTATGATGTTGTTTATAAGTTGCTTAGTACCCCCGTTAAGTTATACAGGCAATTTTCGCCAAGAGTTTTCTGAAATAGCTTAAGTTGTAAGGCGGTTTTCTTACGCATTTTAACGTTTGTTTGCGCGGGAAACTGTAACTAATTATTCGCGGTGTATTTACTCTAATTTTATTTGGATTTTTATCATAGATATAATACATATGTGAACTATAAATATTAAATAATAAATATTATGAAGATTTTCTAACATCCAGGGTATCACGAACTTACCTGTGTCCTTTTTTTAGAATTCAAAATGCCTAAAATATGCAAAGGAAAATATCGCCAATATGAGATCTCCGATTTATTAGAAGCCTCAAGACTTGTAAGAGTAGAGAAACTATCCATCTACAAGGCAAGTAAACAAAGTGGAATAGCCTGGAGTACACTGAAAGATTTTTTAAGTAGAAATGAAGACGACAATCACCAAGTTGCCAAACTAGGAACTTTCTAGTTCAAATTCACTAGTTGAAATTCAGTTGTGTAATTACATTATAAAAATGCAAGAATTGGGTTTTGGTTTGACGGTGCAGATGATAAGAAAGATAGCCTTTCAACTTGCACAACGTACGGAGAGAGATCACTTCTTCAATAAAGAAAACAAGTCTGCTAGTAAATGGTGGTGGGCTCAGTATAAAAAGCGATTCAATCTAACACTGCGTGTTCCTGAAAATTTGGCTGCATACAGGGCTTCAATGTCATATAATGAAATACTGGGGAATTTTTATACAAAATTAGAAACATTAATGATTAGCCTTGGAGTTCAGAATAATTCCGATCGTCTCTGGAATTGCGATGAAACCGGACTATCTTATGTGGTCAAACCAAGTAAAGTCGTTACCTCGGTTGGAAAACGTTATGTCTACAAAAGAGCATATGTAGATAGAGGCGAATCTCAAACCATGATGGGATGTATTTGTGCCAATGGAACATGGATTGCACCGTTGATAATTTTCAAAGGGGTTCGATGGAACGATAATTTAAAGAAAGATTGCCTACCAAATACACAAGTAAAACTTTCTCCAAAAGGATGGATTAACAGTGAGATCTTTTTGGAGTGGTTTCAATTTTTTATTGCCTCAATTCCCTCTGCCCGACCAGTAATTTTATTAATGGATTCCCATGCATCACACATCAATCCGGAAGTTATATCTCTTGCGTCTCACAATGGTGTTTATTTATTTACATTTCCAGCCCACACTAGCCATCTGTTACAGCCACTTGATGTAGGTGTTTATAAGTCATTAAAAGCTCATTGGGCCAAAAGCTTAAATGTTTATATGAAAGATAATGCAGAGAAGCCCAATAGAACCAATTTTCACACCATTCTAAATCCGGCATACATTTCAAGTTTTTCCGCATCAAACATTACAAATGCGTTCAGAAAATCTGGTATATGTCCCTTTGATAGCAATGCCATTCCTAAGGAAGCTTTTGCACCTTCTCTACTCACTTCTAATGAGATACCTAATCAACGTGTAGGAGCTCCTACGCAACAAAATCCATTTAGCAACATATTGTCTCTTCCAACAAAGCCAGTTGCTGCAAATCCGAATAGAAAGAAGCGCGATTCAAGAGCAAAGTGCCTTAATTCTGAAAGTGGTGTGCCTACTTCAATAAGCGATACAGCATCTACCATGTGTATTAGGCCTCAATCCTGAAAGTGTTATTCCTTCTTCACCAATTCATGCACCATCTAGCTGACTGGGATTGCGGAATGTGTGGTAATAGTTATTCACTAGATGTCAAACGAAAAAATGGTGCCAAGTGGGTCCAGTGTTCCTACTGCCTGATTCCATACCATGTTATGTGCCAATCGTCTGATGCCGAAGAGGATGTTTTTATGTGCGTCATGTGTGGAAACAATGAAGACACCATTAATGATTCTGAAGAAGATTAAGTTATTTGTCTACCACCTGTTTTTTTTTAATTAATTTAGTTTTATTTTATTTTTTCAAAATATGGATTACTTTTCTTGTAAAGAATTTTAATTTTGTTTTTATTTGTTAAGAAATTACCTAATTTTACCTAATAAATGAATTTTTATTATTAAAAAAATTTTATGCACACAAATTGGATTGTCACGAATTTACCTTACCTCTATCACGAAATTGAATATCCATGTCACGAAATTACCTTACCTGAACAAAATTTAAAAAAATACATAAATTATTAAACTTTATAATATTTTACACAAAATAGTAACTTGCAGTTGTTACTGAATGATAAGTCTCCTTTTTGGTAATATTTTTACGGTATAAAATTAAAACCTTTAACCGCATTAATTAAATAACCTATAATTATCACGAATATACCTTACTTCACCCTACACACACATATTTAATATAGATCAGAAGACATATTTACAAGAAAATGATTGGGTGTAAAACATGAAAATAATGAGCTGTGAGTGGAAGCTATTCAAATTCAAACTAGTCATTTTATTATTTACAATTAGACGTTTTTTATAAAAAAAAAAGTATAAAGTTATTACTTAAATGAAACAAACTTTTTAAACATTTTTGTAGCATCATGTTGATCCAGCCATTGGAGTGTACATAATTGACCGATACACTTATTATGCCCTATATTTCTTAGAAAATGTTACTCCACAGAGTAATAGAACTATGGGAGAATTTGTAAGTATTAGTTTATAATTATTAACAGTGTTCAATATTTTATTTTGCAAACATAGATGATTTTTACGAATTGGCTTTGTATTTTCCCCGAAATTTTACATATTTAATTTTAAAATGATCTCAATAATTTTAATAGTCACGTTTTGACAAATCGCGACCAAAAATTCATTTAAATATTATTTCGTGCTCAAAGGTAAATTACTATTATAAGTTAATTTTTTGCGACAGGAACCTCTTTTTTTAGGACTACCTACCCTGTTTTCGGGGGCTTAACGTAACTACTTTATTAGTAATTTTTCATATAACGAATAAACCTTGCTTAAAAATATTTATCGCTTATAAAATCTTTTACTAAAATCGTTGTAGGTGTACAAAAAAATTATTCAATGACCTCCACATTTTGCCAACTATAAAACTAGCATGAGAATAGTACAATAAGCTTAATGGTAAAGCAATTTGAAGTCAAACTCATGAATTTTGGCCATTGTTATAACGCTCTTGTGAGCCGGTGCACAATAATATTGGCTATTGATAAATTACCTTTACCTTTTTCAAGATAGATAATTAAAATGCAATTCCAAAATACAATGAGCCATAACCTTTCCGAGCCATTAAGCAATTTCGGAGCACTTTTGTCTGCTTCAGTCCGCTACTGTTAGTTTATTCTATTCTGTGGTGTGCAGTAGTAGATCCAGGTTTCAGTTTAACAAGTGCAAACATTGTTGAAAATAGGTCCCACGATCATGTTTTTGGTCAATGGTCAGCAAACGGGATAAGATATTTTTTCCATATTTAAAACTTCGTAAATATGACTAGTACGCTCTTTACTGATTCTCGTGGCTTCTGTCAATGCACGCACCTTTTCAGCCAAAAACCATTTCATGGATTTAACATTTTCCAGTATAAATGCATAGGAAGGTCGCCCAGTATGTGGTTCATTCACTGTATTCACGGAATCAAAATTTTACAGTGTAGTCTGAAGTAGCATTAGCCCCTTAGTTATCTAGCTTTTCTTTCATTTCCTTCCCCGTTTTATTCCTCAAATGTTTAATTAGAAATCGAAAATCGTTTTTTCCATATGCGCCCATTTCCAAACACGTGAACTGTCAATACTAATGGCTGCATCGCGCTCAAAATTTGATCTATATGCCTAAAAAAGGTTGGACCTGGTTGGTCTGGAACTAATGTTTTTTTTTGAGATCACAGCTCCCTAATCGGCGAAGGGGCTCTCTAGACCACATGTGACCATGTGTTAAGAATTGTTGCTCTTTCATTAGCTTCATCAAAATAAACTTCCGAGGTCCACTTTTATTTTGTAGTTATGTTTGTTCTCTGTTATTACTTTAGACATAATTTTTAATTGCATAAGAATATCGTAATAAAATGAATCATCCATTTACCTGAAAAAAAAAGACAAATAAAACAACTGTTCATTTTTTTAAAATTGTTTATTAATCAAAAATATAAAGCAAATTATCTCAACCCATTTTATTAATGTTACATGAAATGTAACACATGTTATTTTTAGTTGAAGGTATGCCCCAAAAGTGTCTGTATTTCTACTGTTGGAGTTCGTAAAGATCTTTTTAAAAGAAATCCAGACGAGGTGCCCATTACAGACTTTTTTGGATCTATCAGACCCGTGGATATAATCCAAGATCTTGTGAATGTATCAGCCGTTTTAAGTAGTTCACCGACTAGACTAACGGAGCCAATAAGACCAAAGAAATATAAGTATATAGAACCTCTTGTTAATTTTAATAAATTTATAGGTTAATAAAGTTTTTTTATATTACATGCATTTTAAATATGTGCACGAGAAGTTCCTAGCGTACAAGATAGCAATTCGTTATCGGTTTTGCTCAAAAACCTGTAGTTCTACAAGTAAGATCCCTTTAGAAGTATAGAAATATTTGAACTAAGTAAATCTAATGACAGAATTTATTTTTGATAATACAAACTATCTGAAAGAAAGGAATAGGGAATAGTTAGTCATACTTCACTGTGATTTTAGTCTTTCAAGATAACTCAGCGAAAATAAGAAAACGGTTTTCCTGCATTCAGCACGGTGATAATTGTTGCCGAAGAGCATCGATATTTCAAACAACCTCGTCGCTATCCAATAATCAGCGGACTACTGTGGGTTTGTATCATCGAGCAAAAAGATAAAAGAGGGAATCTAATCGTTCTGAAAAGGAGACCAAAAAAGTGGCCTCTGATGGCGGACATATCCGGAAATGCAAAGGCGCTAAATTTAAATTTTCCGACACTTATTAACAATAGCTATAAAATATTTTTCAGACGAGAAAGTTTTAATTAAATATTAACTATAATAGTCTAAAAAGTGACACAATAGGTAAAAGATTTCAATATAAATAAAATTTCATGTGACAGTTGAGACAAACAATAACATAACCTAACTAAATTTGACTTCTTAAACAAGAAAAGAGACTGTCTATCCTTGTCTAAAGTGGCCTCTCAAGATGGCACTTCCTGTCTATCAATATGTTTACCCCCACTACCTTTACATTCCCTCTTTTGTCTTATTGCTCGATGGTTTGTATGCACTCGAATCTCCACCGTATTTTTTACCTTGACGTTGGTGGGTCTTTAGCCAGGCAAACTGATGATGCAAGAGTAATAGCCAGCAGATAATTGAAGGCATGAGGCTACACATCATTGTCAGAAAATTAATAAAAAATTTTAAAAGCCTAAAAAGAACTCAAAAACTAAAATCTTCCAAAAATTATGTTCAACAGGCTAACGAAGAGTTGCCAGTTCCCACTTGAAAAACAAAAATCAACATCCACAATAGAAAACACGGAGATACTACGGGGTATCTGGGCAGTGCTTATCTGGAAACCAAAGAATTATACCACGGACATCTCACATCGAAGAGACTATTTTATAACAAATTGTGGGCCTTACCTTGTCTGTTTAACTTTTTTAAAAAAATTTTATACCCTTTTTATTCAACTTACTCATTTAAATAAAACCACAGACATGTAATATTGGCATAATTATTGTAATTTACAACACCTACTTTGTTTATCGTTATTAGACAACACTCTAATATGGGTTTTTATTATTTCAGCATTTGTTTAACTTTGTATCGAGACCTGAGGATGCTTTGCATATTGTAGAAAGCGAAACCGGTCGTCTGATAGTTAAATTAAATTGATTGTGAGTAAGTCTTATTTATTATTTCTTTACCTACTTACTTTTCACTTTTATCGTTGACTGGAATACCGGTATTTAATTACCCACGAAAGAAAGACAAAGAATGGCTATTGCTACTACTCAAACAGACGTCATGGTAATGGTAGATTAGGGCAGGTCCATGGACGTATCAGGACCGATTTATCCTCCGAAGATAGATCCATTGTATTACCCCTATTATACGGACTAAGCCCATAAAAACTTCGACGTTTAAACGTCTATGACCTCACAGAAAGCCACAAGTCTCTTTAGGAGTAACTCCCTCAATTGGCTCGGTTGCATAAAGGCCAAAACCAGGATCTACCACCTCTGGTAGGCCAGTGCTTATATATGTGAGGTTTCCTTCTCCTAATCACATACTTCGATGGTTCCACTACGTGGAACCTAGCCTGTCTCATACCTTTACAACTGGCCCAGACGTACTGGAACCTCCGCAAAAGAAGCGTGGAAATAACAAAAAAGTCCTGAAAGATAATTTGATACAATTCAAAAACCATACCGGTTTGGGACAATGAAGTCACAGCTTTCCAGCACTCCACACCGGGCAGGTCGGTTGAGATCCCAACGGCTAATAGGGAACATCCTATGAACATATAGGACAAATAAATTATACCCTCATCAACTGAGAATACCAATAAGTTGCAGTTCACACCTACATGATCCGTGCTCAATCGGTAAATCATTAGAAAACCACACCATAATTGACTCATCATATGAAGAGCCTTGTGATGCGAGTATACGCTCTTCAATCCAGAGGTATAACACCATTGTGCCTAGGGGATCAAATACTGATAAAACGGAGTAAAAAATGGTCCAGATGACGACTCATAAATAAGTGACCCTTCGAGACTATAAATAAAAATATATAGAGAACGACTAAAAGCGACTCCAGTCGCGGATTCCAAGTAGGTCTCAATGACTTCCATCAGGTCCTACAGTATTTTCAGCACAGTAAAGGCGGAAACGCATTAAAGTCGCGAACATGGCAGTCTCAGACTAGTACTTCAGTATTCGCACTTAGCAGTCGCGGACTCGTCTCAGTCTACGTAGAAGTTTACAGCTTTTCGATAAGCACAGTGTTCATATCAATTGAGTAACGTTAAAAAATGGCTTGTGAGGATTTGGAAGAATTGTTTTTCTTGGCCGCTATATCAGAACAAGAAAGGAACATTAAAAAACCCAAGAGAAAATACTGGGTACATCCAACCAATCTCTCCCGGCCATTAGAAGGCGAATTTTAAATTAAAATGATTTGGCAGGACAAGAAGCGGACAAGGGGCATTATAAAACGATTCGAACCTCATAACTACGTTCAAATCTTTCCACAAACCCTGATAAATATTACACATAAACGACTTAAAGCAACAAATAATCAGCCAAGCGCTTTAGTTTATTGCCGAGAATACACAAGTCAAAACTGTCTTGTCTGTGATGTGTTCGCGTAACTGTGTATATGCGCACTATAGAGTCGAGGACTTGACAACTCGCGACGGAGACGTTTTGAGATTCTCATCAGACTGAATCAAGTCCGCATCGGAATTGCGCCTCGTCCGCGACTTACAAATGCGTTCATGAATATTAAAAATAACGTAAAGAATCTAAGCTGGAATAGACACACACACACACACTAGAACACATCTAAGCGGCCACCATCGCGATAGCGTCCACGATGACGATCTCAGATTCTGTAGAAAGCGAACACATCGGACCGATCGCGACCTTCGATTTCAATAGTATAGCTGGAAATATCGTTTATAAAATGTGCGATTTATAAGAAGAGGCATTGCAAAAGGTATGCGTATACGTTCTATTTTTTCCATTTATAAATGCAGATATGTATGCAGTTTATTTTGCAGAAAAGATGTTTGGGTACATGACTAATTTGAGGGCAAGCAACAGTGAGAATTTCATAAATTATACCCAGAACTTCGCAGAGATGAGAACCGTTTCTATACATATTTTAGAATGAATTTTGAAAGTTTTAATGAAATTTTAGGTCGGATACAAAATCACCAAACAACAAACAAATTTTAGGGAACCAGTTGATGCTACAGAACGATTTTATTTTTAATACGTACGTTCCTATAATCTGGGTGGGACAGGTCGAATAATATATATTTTTTTAATGTTTTTGTATATCCATTTTTATTTGAATACCAGCGATAAACGTAAACTGCTGCGTTCTGAACGCCAAACTAATAATCTCGCCTCGACGAGTATGTGCTGATGCACTTGTTTGTTTCAGACGAATCTAATCGCGGTCGTCATCGTGAACGCCATCGCGTCGTGAGCGCTTAGGTGTTTTTCGCTTTATGCGTTTCCGACTTTAGGCATCTTCGTGAGAACTTAATGGTGCTATTAGAAAGTTCGATGTCGCGTTGATACAACATACGGCTTCCTAAGAATAAATGCCATTTCAAAAAAAGTATAAGCTTATAAGTCTAGGCTGGATAGCTTATTCGTTATCATGACTTTTTTAACAGCAGCTCAAAATAATTATGTAGTAGATTTTGTACATTTGTTTATGCGATGATCTTTCTCTGCCAAGACCACATTTGCGTTTAGATCTTTTCTAGTATGAACAGATGCAAAAGTTTGAATATTTCGGGTTTCCTCATAATATAGCCGAAGAATTCCCGCTTATGCCTTTTTATTATATTGACCAATTGTATTGTATGGTTCCCATGTCTGAGAGTATGTTTAGTAGTCGTCTGTAAACTTATAGGCATAACCTCCAGGTCTAGTATCCATACAGATATAGTAGTACTGGAACTATATAATAATGTGTCCTTCCAACTCAAAAGTAAGACAGCGGAATTAGTTCGTGCGGGAGTAGTTATTTTAGCTAATGCAATCAAGTATGATTACATGAAAACGCGATAAGTATGGTGCTTCGTCGAGAGAATTGAAGAACAAAGATTCTTTGGCCTCTAAAAATATGCCGAGGATAAATAGTTCAAAACTTGATGAGTTACTGCAATTAGTAAATGTTCAAAAAAAAGATACAATGAGACTAGCAATACCAGTAACCACGAATTTGGAAATAACATTACGTTATCTAGCCATGGGCGATTCTCTGAAGTCTTTAGAATATCTGTTCAGAGTTCCGCAATGAACAATTTCGAAGTTTTTACCGCAGTTTTGACAGCGATTTCTCGCGTCCTTCGACCATTTATTGAGGTGAGTAAAAATTAATTGACTGCAATAGTAAACAACAGTTTTAATAGACAATGTATTTTATGACAATTTATATCATGTCTCCTCCAAATGTATTGATCATGACCTGATTCAACATACCCATGACAGCTTAGAACGAATGATGCAGTTTTGAATTTCTTGTTGCAGCAAGATAGGTTGTCGCTGTAGTAGGTGACGGAGCTCAGATGCAACAAACCTCCCGAACTGGTCACAGGGCTTTCCATAGTCGTTTTTAAGACCTCTTATTTGGCTTCGGAGGTGGTCTCATTTTTTTAGGTAACGTTCTTCTGAGTTGTCAGATTCGACACTTCCAATGTCTTCATCTGGTACTGTGTCTTGACTATTGACAATTCCTAGAAAAAAAATATATTTATAAC